CACTAAATGCCAGGAAGGAGAAGCCCCAGCCACCAGCTCCCCAAAACTGACCCTGAGCTTGCAGAAAAGGCCACTGACAAACATTTCGCTTCCGTCTTATCTGGCTTCGTAAATATTTGGTTCTGCGTTATGTTTTGCTTTGAGCAGCGGGGATGTGGAGGGGTTGGCTCCTGGCCAGGCTCGGAGCCGAACGCTCCGTGGTCTTCTCCTCGGACTGCGGAGTGGGCACTGCAGTGCTGCAGATAAGTAAACTGAGGCGCAGAGAGCAGAAGCCTTCTCCTTACCGGCCCCTCAAAGGGGACAGAAGGCAGGCGTCCTCTCTGGCACTGTCTCTGAGTCCCGGGCTGTAACGTGCACAGTGTTCAGGAAAGTCCTGGGGGCTCGTGGCCCACTGTGCTGAGGGTCAGGGCTTTGAGAGGGAGAGAGGGTGCCTGATGCGGGGCGGACGCCAAGTGTTGGCCAGCATTCACGACCCGCTCTCGGGTGCAGCCTGGCCAGTGTCCGCGCGCTGAAACTCCCATCATGGCTGATTCCCAGTTACCCACGGAGGGTGCTGAGTAAGAAGCAATGGTTCCTCAACATCTACTATTTCCGTCCACAGAATCTAATACAGATTCCGTCCACATAAGCAATCTCGAGAGCAGAGAGCATAGTGAGATGTAGTGAAGTAAGTAGGAAGTGATATATTTCTAATGAATACCCCCTTTAAAAAATTTAAATCATAGCCCTGGCCGGTTTGGCTCAGCAGTTAGAGCTTCCACCTGCGGTCCGTAAAGACCCGGGTTCGGTTCCCACTAAGGGCATGTACCTCGGTTGCAGTTTGTCCCCGGCCCTGGTTGGTCGTGCGGGTGGCAGCCACTCGATGTGTCCCTTTCACATCGATGTTTCCCTCTCTCTCTCTTCCTCTCTCTCCCTCCTACTCTGTCTGTACAAAAAATGGAAAAATGTCCTCGGATGAGGATTAAAAAAAAAAAAAAATTTAAATCATAGCCCCGCTGGTTGAGCATCGATCCATTAAACCAAGAGGTCACAGGTTCGATTCCCGGGCAGGGCACATGTCCAGGTTGTGGGCCCGATCCTCAGTGGGGGAGCATGCAGGAGGCGGCCAATCAATGTTCTCTCTCATCGATGTTTCTATCTCTCTCCCTCTCCCTTCCTTGCTCTAAAAATTAATAAAGGAAAAAAAATTTAAAAAAAATTGAAATCACAGCATTATAAATTTATATGATTTAATTTTAGTAAGGGCTCTGTTTAACCCTCCAAGTGGGTCCAACCTGGCTTCAGATGCTACTGGACCCCTAGCCTTGCCCCACCCTGACCTGCCCCATAGCCCTCACAGGCCCAGAGGCAAGACTGAAGGTCTCACTCAACTTGGGGTGGGGGCCGCATGGGAAAGTCTTGTCTCTGAGTGTGTGGGTCCTAAGACTCTTGACTTCCCTGTTGAACATTTGCTTGGAAGTTAGAATCAGAACGGGAAGGGCCCTGGAAGCCATCTGGTCCTCTGCCTTCATGTCCCAGGTGACAACCTGAGACTCAGAGAAGGGTGGTGAGTAGCCCAGGCTGCACAGCTCACTAGAGATGCTGCTCTGATGAGTTCCTGGGCCTGGCACCCTGTCCAGCCTCCTGTCCCCTGGGCCTCCATCAACAGCCTGGCTTTCCCCAGGGGCTTCCTCTGAGGTAGGTTCTTGGTCCACATCTCTCCTGTCTCCGCAGTGGGCAGGATGCTGGTACTGTCGATAACCAGGGAGCGTTCCAGCCCAGCGAGGGGCGCACTTGAAGTGCTTGCTCCTGGCAAATGGTGGCTAGAAGCAGTTCTGTTTCCCAGGCCCACCCAGGCCTGCTTTGTTTCGTTTTTAATCTTCACCCGAGGATACTTTTCTATTTATCTTCAGATAGAGTGGGAGGGAGGGAGAGAGAGAAACATCGATGTGAGAGAGACACATCGGCTGGTTGCCTCTTGCACAACCCCAAGCAGTGCCGGGGACAAACTGCAACTGAGGTACATGCCCATGACTGAAATCGAACCCAAGACTCACTGGTCCGTGGGTCGATGCTCTAACCACTGATCAAAATGGCCATGGCTGCTTTTATTCTTTTAATTGATTTTGAGAGAGAGAGAGAAACATTGATGTGAGAAACATCTGTTGGTTGCCTCCTATACACACTCTGACTGGGGATCAAACCCACAACCTAGGTATGTGCCCTGACCAGGAATTGAACCCACGATGTTTTGGTATACAGGATGATACTCCAACCAACTGAGCCACCCAGCCAGGGCCAGGCCTATGTTTTTACTTATTTTTATTTATTTTTTTATCCTCACCTGAGGACATTTTCCATTTTTTGTTCAGGTAGAGTAGGAGGGAGAGAGAGGAAGAGAGAGAGGGAGAGAGAGAGAGAGAGAGAGAGAGAGAGAGAGAGAGAGAAACATTGATGTGAAAAAGACACACTGAGTAGCTGCCACCCGCATGACCCAATCAGGGCCGGGGAAAAACTGCAACTGAGGTACGCGCCCCTAGCGGGAACCGAACCCGGGTCTCTCTGGACTGCAGGCCGATGATCTAACCACTGAGCAAACTGGCCAGGGCCAGGCCTATGTTTTTAATTTTTTTTTTATCCTCACCCGAGGACATTTTTCCATTTTTTGTTCAGGTAGAGTGGGAGGGAGAGAGAGGAACAGAGAGAGAGAGAGAAACATCGACTTGAAAGGAACACATCGAGTGGCTGCCACCCGCACGACCAACCAGGGCCGGGGACAAACTGCAACCGAGGTACGTACCCTTAGCGGGAACCGAACCCGGGTCTCTCTGGACCGCAAGGCCTATGTTTTTAAAGAGACTCCCCCATCCCTTGTGCACATCATCCTCAATACCCCTGCCCAGCCCCGCAGCCTTGCCGTTCCTCCCAGTGAGATGTCACAGCATCTGCTCCTACGACACCCCAGGACAACATGGAGGTAAGACCAAAGAGGTATCAGAAATCTCTTTGTGGTCCCAAGTGCTAAGTACATGGGAGAATGAAATCGTCCTGTTGGGCCAGAAAAAAGGCACGGAGCAATCACACTGGAGAAGGGGCTCTCCCTCCTCACACACGAGCCCTCTCCTACGGGAGGACTGCCTTCTCAGGGGCTCCCAGATACCATTTCTGCCTCCATCTCACAGCCCACATTGCGTCTTCTTCCAGGAATGTCTTTTCTCCTAATTGTTAATAATTCTTTTTTTTTTTTTTTATCCTCACCCGAGAACATTTTTTCCATTTTTTACTCAGATAGAGCGGGAAGGAGAGAGAGGAAGAGAGAGAAACATCGACGTGAAAGGGACACATCGAGTGGCCGCCACCCACACGACCCAACCAAGGCCGGGGACAAACTGCAGCCAAGGTACATGCCCTTAGCGGGAACTGAACCCGGGTCTCTGTGGACCGCAGGCTGACGTTCTAACCGCTGAGCCAAACCGGCCAGGGCTAATTGTTAATAATTCTTAAAGATCTGGCCAGGATCTCACTTCCTGCAGGAAGCCTTCTGAGATTATACCATTTCACATGAGCTCTCCCTCCTTTAAACACTTACCATCATTTCACTCACTATTACTTTTTTCCTGCCTGACCTGTAGAATGTAAGCCCTGGAGACTAAGATTAACCTCAATACAGTTTAGTGCACCCCATCATGCCTGGGTTCATTAAACAGCTCCTCTCCCATGGCGCTACCTGGCAAACTCCTATTTAACCTTCAAAGCCCTAGGTTGAATGCCCCAACCCTGGAAAACTCTGATTCTTCTGGGGCAGAGCTGCACAAGTTCTTCTGTGCTCCCATTGTATTTTCCCATAATTTCTCTACAAGAATGTATTGGGCACTAATTTAGTGACAGGCACCTGGCAAGGCACCAGGAACACTACATTAAATGAGGGAGAATCAGACTATACCCGAGGAACCTATATTCCACCTGGGGAGGCAAGTATCAACTGATTTTACAATTATTTAATTAAATGTCACCCAGATGCACTGACCACTTGCTATGTGCTAAGTAAGCACTTCGTACATATTGAGTCATTTACTGCTCACACATATGCTGAGAGTGTTGTCTCCTTGACCCTTCTATACCTCTGAGTTCCCCGGTGTGAGGGGTCTAAAACTGCACCCTCCTCCCCACTCCCACCCTCTCTCCTACTTGATTTCTCCCCTTAGCACTTGTCACCAAACACATACTATTTTCCTTACTTATTCTCTGCCTCTCCTACTGCAACATGAATTTCTGAGGACAGGGATCTGCTGTCTGTATCCCCACAGCCTAGGATGGTGCCTGGTAAACAGTGGCGATCAACCACATTGGTTGAAAGAAACATATCAGTCTCTCTTTTTCAAATAAGCAGACAAGAGTATTGGTGCTCAGAGAGGCCAAACCATTTGTCTGAGGTCACAGAGCTGGTGCCCAGCAGAGCCTGAATTCAAACCCAGACTCCCTGCTCCAGGGCCCATGCTTCTTGTCACTTGCTATGTCATGCCATCTCTTTGTACTGCCACCACCTATCACCTGACTGCCTCCCCGCCTCAACTATGTTGCCCTCGAGGGTGGGAGCTGGTGTCTCCATCTTGTACCCACTGCCTCCCCGCACCGGCACCGGGCCCAGAGCGGTTTCCAGTAAATGTTTACTGAATGAGTAAATAACTGCATGAATCCATCGTTATATTTCATAGACCTTCCGCTGTTTATTGTTGACACAGCACTCAGTTTTAAGTCCCTGGACTCAGGTGCCGTTTGTCAGGTGAAAATATATTTTGGCAGGCAAAAGCACCTCACAGTCCCCTTGCACACTTTTGGTGTTTCCTTTGCTTCTAGGCAAGGAGCCTTTTGCAGACCCGAGTTCCACCTGCCCGCCACCCGACTTGAACACTCTCAGATAAATCAGACGCTTGCTTTGCCTGTGTTGGGGGAGAACTTACAGAACGTATAGTGTCTAGGGTTGGCCCAGCTCCTCCCGGCCCCCTGACCCCGGCACTTACGTTGGCTTTTTTAGCCAGCCACTCGTGCAGCGACCGTTTCCAGATATTCTTGGCAGAACTGGCTTCAAGGAGAAGCAGCAGGGAGCACAGAGCCCAGATGACCTGCCTTCTGCTGTTGCCCATCCTGCAGCTGGTCCAAGGGGTTTCTTCCCAGATGTTCAGAGAAGAGGGCCCTCTCGACAGGTGGGTCCTTTGAATGGGGAGCAGAAGCGTGCACGACTATTTAGCTCCACTCAACCGGATCCCTCTGACCATGCGTCCACACCCAGCACATGCCCCCACCCCAAACCCCACCCCTAGCGGTGGCCGGCCCTCCTGGCTATTTTTAGCGTGCCCTATAACATCTGGCCCCAGAGACTGCAACCAGGCAGTTCAGTTCAGATGGTACTGGTCAGCTGGCCAGAGACACCCCTTCCCCTGGCTTGCTTGGAGACGTGGCTGGGAGTGGTCCTGTCACTCGGGATAATGAGCACTTCTTGCAGTCTGGGGTGGTCTCTCCCAGAGGAGGTATGCTTGGCTGAGTGGCTGGGGGCGGGTGGGGGCGGGCACACAGATGAAACCGGCCCAGTAAAATGGATTCCAGCTGCTACCTCATTCAAATTTTGAACTGGGCTGACAAATTCTGTCTGCTCACTAAAGCTTCTTTGGAAGACATTGCTGAATGGGGGCTGGCTGAGCATGTGGCCTCGGGGAGATGACAGACACTCTCGAACCCCAGGGCCCTCTCTAAAGTGGGCCTGTGAACAGTGACATCACGTGTTCCCTGGGAGAGTTCAGTGGAAGTGTGTGTGTGAAAAAGTTTACGTACATCACCAGTGGGCTATAATACCAGTGTGTGTGTGTTTTCTATAGGGATCGATATTTCACAAACCTTATATTCCATCATCTGTCCATTGCAACCCTGAGACAGGGACTGTTTTGATGCCCGATTCACAGATGGGGAGGCAGAGGTGCAAGACTTGCCTGAGGTCAGGCAGCCGGTAGCAGAGCTGCGGCTCAACTACAGACCAGTCTGACCCCTGGGCACCCCCAGGCGAAGCGGAAGAGACCCGAACTCCAGACTTAGATGCACCTGGGCTAAGCCCCAGCTCAGCTTCTATCTGTGAGATGCTGGGGAATCCTCGTCTGCTACTGCCCCTCAGTTCTTGCATCTGGGACACTAAGTCTGTGGTCACTTGTTACAGTGGCAGTAGGAAGCTCATGTACCCCGGAGCAGGTACCCCACGCCTTCTCCAGGCTCGGCCCGCATCGGCACTCGGTGAGGACGGGCTAGATGCACGAAGTCCCCGTTAGTGCTTCCGTCAGTGCCTTGCACAGGGCTTGGCATACAGCAGGTGCTCCATAAGTGTTCTCCAATTCAGATATCACTTCCGCAGCAGTATTTGGACCACACGGACCCAAGGTGCCAAGCAGTTAATTCCTTGCAAATATTAACTTATAAAAATGACCCTTCGACTACTCCAGGAAGGAGGCCACACTGCAGGTTTTATGAAAATGAAAAAGCTCCGAGAGGAGAAATGAACAGGGAACAAATTCCCCGTGGGAAGCAGCCACTTTCTTCTGATCAGGGACGGGTAGGATCCAGTCAGACAGCCAGCCTTGAGGGCTCCCAACAGGGGTCCAGGGGGCAGCCAGAGCCGGGGGCCCAGCATAGTTTCAGGGCCGGCAACTCCCCCCGGTTCCTGCCAAGCCTCAGAACTATACATTCCAAGTGGCAGGAGTCCTAGTTTCTCTGAGCTCTGGTGACCTGGACTCCGTCCCAAGCTTAGTGGGCCGTCCCCATGAGTGTGGCTTCCTGCAGATCCGTGGGCGAGGTTTTCTCTCCTTGAAAAACATAAAGGGCACGAGTGCCGGGGGACCCCACTCTGGGGAGCCCAGGATATGGCTCACAGGAACAGGTTCTAGGAATAAACCCTCCCTCCTACTCCTGATAAAACTCCCCCACCCGATCACTAAGGCTTTATGCTCCTTCCCAGGAAGTCAAAGCATGTTCTTCCCTGGTGGTCTAGGAAAGGGGACAGGGTGGCATTGATTCATAGTTCACACGAGGTATGCATGACTGTCAGCAGAAAGAAACACACAGACAAGCCCTTGCTGGTGTGCTCAGTGGTTAGAGCGTCAGTTCAAGGACTGACAGGTCACAGGTCTGATTCCTGGTCAAGGGCACATACCTGGGTTGCAGGTTCAATCCCCAGGTCAGGGTGCATGCGGGAGGCAATCCCTCTGGACCCCTTCCTTTATTATAAAATATTTTTAAATATTTTAATTTTTCATAATAGTTCATTGATAACAAGACAAAAGTAATACTGAGGCAGGATAGTAAGAAGCTAGGAACGTTCTTTGGCAAGTGGAACGGGGAAACGGAGACGGACAGCTGAGCAAAGGGTTGAGTGGTTCATAGCCAGATACAGGTGCCTAGCCATGGGCAGAACTGGCTCTAGACCCCGCCGCCAGGGTGATCATTCTGTTTAGACCCCCTGAATTTCCTCCCTTGCGATAACATCTAGGCCTCAGCTGTATTTCAGCTCCAGGCCCAGAAAAGCAGCAGAACCACGACCCCGAGAGGGCACACCTAGAAAACCTGATGAATATTCTATTGGAATCTCCCCTAAGACCCCGTCTAAATTCTCAGCCTTTAAAACCCTCAACATAAAGAAAACAAAGGACGTGGATCTTGCTCTCCCTCCTGGGAGCAGCCTGAGCTTTTCCCTTTCCCTCTCCTTCTCCCACAGGTGTGCACCTCCTAAACTCTAAGGGACCCCACAAGACTTGCAACCAGGGGGAGCAGTGGGCAGCAGCAGCTCGTCCCGGGCGAACCCCTCGATCCTGTCTCCAAGGCCCCCTTTCTCTGACTTCTCAGTGAGCCAAAGCAGCCCCGCCTCGGCTCTCCTGTTGCTTCTCCCCCCCAAGCCCGTCCTCTGTTTCATCGTCCCCAGCTGTAATAAACATACTCTCAAAATCACCTGGACGGGCTGGCCCCAGGCAGGCCTGCTAAGGGCCCAGTCCCCTTTCTGGTAATAATACAAATTGAATTATGTTTTTTTTCTTCTGATTTTAAAACCAACTGAAACACTTCCCTAGGCCCCTAAAAGACATGTGGGTCCTGGGCACTGTGCCTGCTGTGCCGATGAGACAGCCCTGGTCCAAATACTGCTGTGTGACTTCGGGCAAGCCTTTGCACTCTCTGAGCCAGTACGCTGGGTGGGTGGTGTTCAATGGATGGCACAGATAAGACGACTGGGCACACCGGAGGAGCCCTTTGCTGCAGTCTGTCCTCACTGTGTGCCCTGCGAGAGCAGGGAGGGCTGGTGGAAGCGGCTTCTGCGTTGCACAATCAGCCTTGAGAAACTTGCAGCCCAGCTCTGCTCCAGGCTGTGAATGAAAGCAGATGTCCCCTGGGCCTCCTTGTTCTTGGAGAGCCAGACCCTGACCTCAGTTCACCCCGCCATCCTATCACTGACCTCCACTCAGTGCCGGGCTCCCCCTTAACGCACAGTTGAGGTCCTTCCAGCTAGGGGACTCCCAGCTGCTCTCCCTGACTCCAGCTCCACCTCCACGGAGCCCCAGACCTCCTCCCGCCCTGATTAGTTTCCTGGGAAACTGACATCTCAGCTGCGGCCAACCGTGACCTCCTACTGCTGGAAGGGCAGGATTGAAGGTGACCTGGCTCTCTGCCCCTTCGCCCAGCCCAGGCCCCACCCTGTCAGCAGACTTGGCTCTTCCCCGGCAGCCAGGGCCAGGACTTGACTGGGCTTCCATTGTTTTTCTCTCTCTAGGATTTGCACCCACCTCGAAAGTAGGACTTGCATCTAGGCCACTCGTTTTTGTTTTTACTCCCAAAGCAAATCTGATGGAGAAACCTCTCCCTGTCCTACCTCCCAAGCTCCCTTGCCTTGGTCCTGCTGAGACCAAGGTAAAAATGAGCGACCTGCAGGCCTCGCAAGTTAGCCCAGCCTCGGTCAACTGTGCTGCACTGTTAGCACCGCCTGCGGGAGCCTGGGTAACACCCACGCCAGAGCAAACCATCAGGGGGAACAAACCGGAAGCCGGATCCATGGAGTCAGACTCAGTGCTTGCCCGAGTTCCCCAGCTGATTCTAATGAGCATCCAGGGCCGGGAGCTCTGACAGATTTGGCCTCTCCCCCGACCCCAGCCCCCACAAGCCCCTCTCCGGGCCTCAGGCCCCTCCAGCTCCCTCTCCCCCTCCCTGCTGCAGCATGCTGGACTTGCCCGTGTGCACACTCACCATCACCCTTTGCTGTGGGGCCTTTGCATATGCTGTTCCCTCTTGCCAACACTCTTCCCTGCTTTCTGTGTGCACTTGTTAAGGTTTCCTCACATCTTAGCTCTCAGCAAAACAGTCGGCCCCTGCATGATAAATGGGAACATGGGCCCCTTCCCATGCTCCAGCTCCCCCTCCCACCCTGTGGGAGATAGAGCGAGACCTTCGGAGCCTGGCCAGCGCCCCAGTCAAAGAAACAGCATTTGGCCCTGGACGGTTTGGCTCAGCGGTTAAAGCGTCAGCCTGCGGTCTGGAGAGACCCGGGTTCAGTTCCCGCTAAGGGCTTGTACCTCGGTTGCAGTTTGTCCCCAGCCCTGGTTGGTCGTGCGGGTGGCAGCTACTCGATGTGTCCCTTTCACATCGATGTTTCTCTCTCTCTCTCTCTCTCTCTCTCTCTCTCTCTCTCTCCCTCCTGCTCTATCTGAACAAAGAATGAAAAAGTGTCCTCGGGTGAGGATAAAAAAAAAAGAAACAGCATTTGATCTCACGCAGCTTTTGCATGTCCTTCCCCCAGCATGCTCTGTTTTTCTGTTTTCTGTACTCCATAAAACCTGGTGTTTGGAAAGTCTGGGTGGTGGCAAAACAATGGGACGGGCCGGCCACTCCCCGCCCCTGTGCTGCCCACCAGCAGGCTGGAGGGGACTTAGTGCTTCAGCTTCACTGGTGGCAGCCCACGTGGCAGTCAACTTCATCTGCTGGCAGCCGCCGGAGCGCATGGAAGTCCTCATAAACCCATGTCTTTCACAGCCAGTCATCCGGGTTATTTCTTTGGGAATCCGAAATCAACATGCTGAGGTTTTCTGGGACCTCAGCACTTGGCATAGCAGACCCTCGCTCCCAGAAATGCTCCCTGTTTTCCAGACCTACTCAGTTCCCCCAGGACCAGGCTTTCCTGGCCCCAGAGACTTCCGCTTGATGGGACACACGCAACCCACGGAGGGGGTGACATTTCTTTCCACGGTGCCTGCCTCTCCCAATGCATGGTAAGCCCTCCAAGGGCAGGAACGGTGTCTTTGTTGTTTCTGTTTTGTTTTGTTTTTTGTTGCTCACCTATTACGCACCTGGAGCTCAGACATGCTCATTGCATAGCTAAGTGGATGCTCCCACACGCCCACCAGGTCTCCTGCCCAGGTGACTTTGCTAGACCTCCTTAATGCCAGCCAGTGATGCTAGAGTTGCCCCCTGCCTGGTTGAACTGATGCAAACACATGTAGCAGCATCTGCCTCTGTGGTGCTGTCAACCCACAGCCACACCTGTGCTGGACAGCGTCCTAGGGGCTGGGGACACACCACACTCCTCCCTGCCAGCACCCTGCACCCAAGGGCTTCCCTTCAGTGCCCTGGATGTTTGGGGCTGGACCACCCTGTTTGGGGGGCTGCCCTGTGAGGTGTTGGAAGTTTAGCAGCATCCACAGCCTCTACCCACAGAAGTATTATCCCACACTCCTACCCAACCAGCGTGACAATCAAAAATGACTCCAGACATTTCCAAATGTCCCCTACTCAGGGGGCAACCCCCCCCTTCCCCATTGAGAATGCCTGCATTGTGGTCATGAAGCTGACCATCTTACAGTAAAACAGGGTAGAGTCAGGTGTTGACTTATTGTTAAACTGTCCAAATCTGTTCCATGCACTTTTCTGTGTGTATAATCACACACACACACACACACACACACACACGCGAAGAGAGAGAAAAACCACACCAGACTGGAATAAACTCTGCCGGGAAGCATGAACCCGAGGTTAAGGGCTCAGAAGTCGAATTTCCATCCCTGCTCTGCCCTGTGTTCCCACGGCCTCTGCTCCTCATCATCAAGTGGAGACCTTAGTAGCCCGTTGCTCACAGGGTACTGTGCTCACACTGGGGGGCAAGTGTGATTTATCCTTAGTGTCACCAACATAACTCCAACAACCCAGTTCTGAACATATTGTAGTTAGAGAGACCTGCCATTCAAACAGAGAAGGCG